GTTGGAATTTTGCCTTTTCTTTTGTGATCCCAAGAATTGTGTTTGTGTGGTACCGTACGATAAAATGGCGGGGGAAAGTGGCATATGGGAAGCGAAAAGGATGAAGCATAATTGCACGTGGGAATAGCAAGTCAGTCCCCACCTGTCTTCCTCTTCCTCTCTACATCATAGTCTTCATTTTCAATAATATGATGAGATATTATTGAAGGCACAGAAAGTTGACGCGTAGAGACATTAATTAAAGAAGGAAGTTAGATGACCATCATTTCATGTACATTTCTTAATATTAATTTCCATCGATCAATACCATTAATTTAAAACATTTTTTGTATTATAAGTAACCCTTTTTTTTTTTTATGTTGTTAATACTGCAAGTTATTCTTTAGAGGGAGTCTGCCTAAATTGTTAAAAAATGTTGTGGTTTTGATTTGATTACCTATTAATTAATTGATTTTGGCGTGTTTACATATATACTTTACTTACTAAACTAAATCATTCTTATTAATATTATAAGAACATTTTCTCTTATCCTCACAAGTTCTTGTTTACTGAATTTAATTGTGTGTATTGTTGATTTTATTCACATTTAAGTAATTCTTATCAAAATATGTAACTTTAGTGTCAATAAGTTTGTATCCTGATAGCATGAAAGCTCTTTTATATAATAGCATAAAAGCTCTCTTATATAATAAGCTGTAGATTTGATTCTGCTTATAATCTTAAACTATTAACACTTGCTCATTAGTTAGTTAAATTTTCACACAAGTCAGATGGTAATTTTGGTACTGTTGATCACCCTCCTCTTTTTTGTACAAGAGGCGGGCCAATTTTGATGAAGAAAACTAAATCTCTTGGTTCATTATGTACTCACTCTGAGTTAATGGAATTCAGATTACTTTTGAAAAAAGGAAATTATAAGAGCAGAAGGGAAGAACCATAGCAGATGAGCTTTTGCTCTGCACATGAACACAGACGAAGTATTTTCTGAAGTCAAATCCAGAATCACATTTTTCACGCAGAGTATTTTTTTAATTAAAATTTAACTCAATCTATGATTTTTTTTAATATTAAATAAATCAGGAGAGGTACAAATTTTGATTTGCAGGAATCATTTTATTATTTGGAAGCAAGTGGATACCCCAGAGACAGAAAGGAGGGCAACGGGAGAGAGTTTTTCCCATTCGGTGCCAATCTCTCGGCAGAAATTAAGGAGCGTGGGGTGGGAATTAAGGGAAAGGACAAAAGTTTTTGGGTTTCATGTGAAGCACTGAGAATTTTTATCAACATGCTTAATACTTACTACTTTGATCTTATTTATTAGGTATTTTTAACATATTTTACATAGACAAAAAAAAATCTTAAAATGTATTAACTCTTCATTAAAATATAACAGCTTTTCAACTTTATTTATATTTAATATATATATTTCAAAAAAAAATGTCTATATTATAATAAATAAAAAAATGAAATAGTACATTGACATTAAAAATTTAATGAAATAACTTATAAATAAAATTAAAAAAAAAACCCTCCCTCTGTCTGTCTGATAAATAGAACCAGAGGAGGAGTATTGTTTAATGTCAACGTCTATAGGGCTTAGGTGAAGAACATAAGGGAAGCCCACTGATCAAAAACCAAAATTTTGACGGTGGGTACCCCAAAAGATGGCAAGATTTTGAATTTATGCCCCATTTGAGAAGTATTTTCGAAGAAACTGAAAATAGAAAGTGGGGTAGAATTAAAAGTGGAAATGGAATTAGAGGTTATCACTTTATCAAAATATTACTGTCAAAAATTGAAAAAAAAAAGAAAATACTTCTAAGGCTCCGCCACCGACAACCTTTGCTATTTTTTTATTATGTCTATGTGTGTATATAATTTTTATTTTGTATAACATTCTTTAAGACCAAAATAAAAATTCTTAAATATGTATTTAAAAAAATATTCTTTAAAAAAAATTAAAAGGTTACTTCCTAATTGCCCAGGATTACAAAATGAAATCGAACATACAATCTCCTAAGCGGCCTGTATGACACCATATGATATTTAGAATACAAGCCATGGGCTAAAAATTCTCCAAATCCATTTTGAACAGTAAAGTTTAGTAGTGTACTGTTTTGCAATTTAAAAATATTTTTATATAAATTAAGACAAAACCCTTCTCATAGATTTAACGTAAAATCACTTTTAAAATTATAAAAACATTCCCTAATTTCAAATTTTCAACGCGTGAACTTTCCCCTTCACTGCACAACAGAGCTCGATTCATACAAATTTATAAACTGATTTAATCATTTAATTCTTTTATGGCAAAAGCTTTTTTTTCTTTTCTTTTTTTTTTATAGTAAAATTCTGTTGCGCTTCTCCTTCCCCCCCGGGTTAATCACGATAATGTTACAGAACCCAAAAAAACAAAGTATGAATATGTATGAATAATGATGTGTGATTTTTTTTATTTCGAATTATAAGAATTATTTTTAATTTAAAAACTAATAATAAATGTTTTAAATTTTTTCATCCGTAAAACTTATTTTTTAATAATTAATCCTTTATCTCATTCAGAAAGTCTAAAATGACAGAATTATGTATGACTTAAAATTCCCTTGGAAGTTTTCCTTTTTTTGTAGAAATAATTCCCTTGTGAGTTATTGACCTTGTTCTTGTGCTTGATGCATTCTTCTTCCCATGATGTGAACGGTGTGTATTGAATATTGATCAGGCTGGGCAAAAATGGCAAGTATTGATTGTATTTAGGGATGGGCGTGACATAAGCAGGGTGCGATGTGATAATAGAACAAGGGACAGATTTATTTCCAATGGGCATTCAAGATATCTCTATTCACAATACCAGCCTTAACAGGTAGCAACAAGCAAATCGATATTACTTATTAGCTGAGATTTGACATCGCAGGTTCCCTAACAACGAACTGGCGTTCCGGGTCTGCCAGGCCATTCCTCATTCTTGGGGGATTTGGTCTTACAGGCTTCCCGCAATAATATTTCAAAGGGCTAGCTGCTCTTCTTAAGGTAGCTTTTCTCATATAGAATCGGGAAAACAAGCTCCGAACTTCATCATGAATCTGCAGCAGAGCTCAAGGTTCAGGAAGAAGGCAACCTAACTGCATGTCCAGTTCACCTAAGAAGGGAAAATCGTAGGTTCGATCATAGATAACCCACCATTAGTTGACAAAGCTGGCTTCCTTATCAAAATCCAGTCCCACTGTTGACGTGGAGCATGTCATTGATTGCTCTTTGGGACTTGCTCCAATAGTTCGATATAGAATTTGAGACCAGAAGATAATCAAGTTTGATCTTCCCAAGTTGACAAACAGAATCCCAGGTTCCATTATCACACATCATACAAGTCAGGTCCCATATGACCATCCTAGCTCTGACAACCACCACCATGCATAAGCCTACATCATCACCTCAGTTTACATGGTCAGATCCCAAACTAAGCTAGTCGCTGTGCATTCTTCAAACTCACATTGCTCCTAGTTGAATCGAGGCACCTACTCTGTTGAAAGAAGACATCGGAGTGGTTTACATTCAGTAGCCACCTTCGTAAAGGACGAATGGCACCAGTTTCAAGAATATCATTTGTCCACAACAACTGAAAACAAACATGTTTCCACATCATAGTAAACAGCCTCTCCTTTCAGCAGCCAGAATACCCAAATCTTAGTAGACAGAATATCCTCAATCAAGTTTTGCTGATCAATGAGACGACCTATCAAGGAGTGATCAATGGCAACTCTATTCTGCTCTACTTTCATATCAGACGCTACATTGTAAGTTGATGTTTCACTCGGTAACTTAATCAAAAGAATTCAATGTTCCCAAAAACACAAGAATAAAAAACATTTAATTACCCAATAAGGATTAATCTAGTCAATAAGGATACAGCTCATCCCTACAAAAACATAGGTCCAAATCCCGTTTCCAATGGGAGGATGGAGGAAGTTGTTGGCGAGTAATTATTGATGCGTCTATAAGCACTAAGAGTCGTGAGACCTTCTTTGACCTTGATAAGACCTAGAACTCAATCCACCAAAACTTCTTCTTTCTCCCCTTCTACCCAAAGAGAACATTTAAATTGGTAAATTGAACCCCTACTTTTCTGTTATGTAACAAAACCACCTACAGCACCGCTACTTGAACTCAATTCTTTTCAACATTTTGGAAAAGAAACAACTAAACAATCACATGATAGTTTTCACGTCCTGACTTTACAACTAATTTCCTTCTATCCTGCCCAGACCCAGGCACTTGAAGTTTAGAATAAGAGAAAGAATCAAGGACAAAATTCAAAAATTCCAGAAGGAATCCACACTATAAGCTCTTACATCCAGGAGAGCAGGAGCAAATCTTAAGATGATCAACAATCACAGCTTCTAAATGTGGTCTAACAAGGAAATAAAACCACAATTCTCCAAAATCTTCCAGAACAACGCAAACTCTTAAGCTGATTTTTCTTCAGGAGATATCACAATGATCTAACCTGAATGAGAGAACAAATATTTTCATGTCTACTTAAGCTGATGCAATGTTCTGTGTAGCAAATAACCTTGTCAGAAAAATTCCCATCTTCATATGGCAAGAATCAAAACATTGCCCAGCTACGGTTTACATATAGTGGCATCATAGAGGTAGATTATACTGAAATCCTCCCAAGAGTCATCTGATTCTCTTTTATTTTTTGCCTCTTTCTATGTAAGTGAGAGCTATACGAACGTCAATGCAATGAACAGAATTGAAAAATTCAATTATAAGTTTATAGAAGTTGAATTTAGAAATAAAATAGATCAACAGCGCCTTGTAATTGGAAGAAGTTGATGTTTAAGGGAAAACAAAACTCACTGAACTTTTATTGAGTCATAAGATCTTGTTGCACTGGGCTCTAAAAACGAGAAGACTAGGCACTCACTCACTATAAGGGAACTGAACAATCAGCCAGAGCAGACATTCTACAAATAGAGTCGAAATGGCCACAAGGTCCCTAAATTTTAAGTAAGGTAGTAAATGACCAACGCAAAGTATAAAGTAAACCACAACAGTATATATCAATTAATTACACAAGAAAATGGAATGAACATGAAAATTACACCATAAAACCGCACTGCTCAGAGCTAGAAAAAAGAAACTTGTCAACATGGTTTATCTCCCTATTCTGAATGAATAAAGCATCCACTACAAGGAGGCAAGTGGCAAAATATTCTTCTCGGTGTTTAGGATCTTGATACAGTTCTAATTCTAATGTTTAAGTAAAGGGAGAAGCTAAAAATTACCAATCAAAAACTGATGCCGCTCTAATTCCATGGACACACGGCAATCTACTTTTGAATGTTAAGCATGGACTTCACCTCATTCTGCTCCTCTATGAGACCTTCGCTAACATACTTATTCAAGAGCTCCATCTTTTTCTTCTCCAGTACCATCCTCTCAATCTCCTTTTCATCGGGCAAAGGCACATGCACCACAAACTGCCTCTCGTTTTCCTCCAATTTCTCCCTCATCTCCCTTTCCTTCTTTCTCTCTTCCTCCACCACATCTTCTTCCTCTTCATGCAAGAGCTCCCTAGCAGCTGCAGTAGCACTCAAAGTTACCACCTCCCCGCTCTTCACACTCTTCCTAGCCTCCCTTCTAATTTCTTCCAATCTATTCCATTCCTCCACCGCTTCCCTCCTCATCTTCTCCTCTGCTGGGCCCTCAAGCCTCTCCAAAATTCCATCTTCATCGTCCCTATACCCATAATAGCTCGCGTCAATCCTCTTGTAAATATCATACCGAGTTCGCCTCTTCCTGAGCTCAGGCGGCTTCTCGAACAACTCCCTGACCCCAGGCAATTTCTTTGCAGCACCAAAATACCTATACCCAGGGCCACGCCCACCAGGATTAGGAACATCTACGATATTGCCCTCCAAATCCGTCATCTTCGCAGAGTGTTTGGCATAATTAGGGCCACCAAGCTCGACGATTCGCCGTTCCCAGTGACCCTTTTCTCGGATGAGCTTGTTGATCTCATCGTTGAGGTCGCGGAGCCGGTGCTCGCCGAGACCCTCGTTCTGAATCTCAGCGACCTTGCGTCCAATCTCTCGCATGATCTGCTGGCGCCATTTGTCGGCCTCAGCGAGGTCGCGGCACTCGGAGGCGAGGTAAGGACGGCGCTCCTTCGGCTTCTTCTTCTCCTCAGCTTTGAGGGTAATGTAGCGATTGAGCATGGATTGAGCCTTCTCTTCATTACGAGCCATCTTCCTGAACCAATAATCTGATTCAGAATTCTACTTCCTTCGTTCTACTCTTATCAGTTTGCAGCTGTGCAGGGCTCTCCTCTCCTACTGTACCTTCTTCGAGTATTCCAATTCCCAAATCAATCTCCAAAATCCCAACCCTATACCGGGCAACACGAGCCTTTATATGTGTTTCTATTAATTTATTTCCATAGGTCTCCTTTCCCTGATGAGTCGGGAATATCCATACGTTTTTTAAAGAATTATAATGAGGTCCCAAATAAAAAAAACAACTGAAAAATAAGTTTCAGAAGTTGTCATTCTCATTAAAAGACTTGTCATTATATGCTGTTGAGTTTGTTATTAGAAATTTTTGGTAATTATTTTTTTTATGTGGGATTTGATTGTAATTCTTTCTCTTTTTTTTTTGCCAAAGATTATTTCATTAATTCATTTTAATTGGATCCTCAATGTTTTTTTGGTGAAATTGGATCCTGCAATTCAATAATTAAAAAAAGTGGGTTAGAACTAGAAGTTATATTCTGTTATTAAATTTTTTAATTAAGATATGGTATATTTTATCTTGAAAAATACACGCTTATCTTATTATTATATGTTATAGTAATTTTTAAAAGACGCAAAACTATCTACTTATTGCTTGGATCTCTTATATTCAAAATAAATAAATAAATAGAGTACATTCAATTTTTTTTTTTCCAAACACACGATGATAGATTGTAATCGCTATAATTATATTCTTTACATATACAAATATACATTAAGAAAAGGGAAAATCCCAAAAAAAGGTCATTGAAATATGGAAAACGCCAGATTGGGTCCTTAAATTTCGAAAATGACAGAATGGGTCATTGACCCAATTTGTCATTTGTGAAATTCAGGCGAATTGATAATTTTGTCCTCATTTATTCATTCACTACAATGATTCAAGAAATCACTATAAGAGTTTAGGTGTTACCTAAATTCGTGTAGCGAATAACTACTCACTTTTTCATAGTCAGGTGTCTTATTATTAACTACAACTAATTCTGTAATCACTAGAACAATATAAGCATTATCCAGATTTGTGTAGAGAATAACTACTCATTTTTTCATAGTCAGGTATCTTATTATTGTCAGGTATCTTATTATTAACTACAACGAATCTTGTAATCACTAGAACATTGTAAGCGTTACCTAGATTTGTTTAGAGAATAACTACTCACTTTTGCTCATGGGCAAAAATGTCAATTCGCCTGAATTTCACAAATGACAATTGGGTCAATGACCCATTCTGTCATTTTCGAAATTTAAGGACCCAATCTGGGATTTAGTATATTCCAGGGGCTTTTTCTGGGATTTTACCTTAAGAAAATATATTATTTATTTATTTATATTCTACACAGACAAAGCCACACATATTCTTTATGTCACCGGTAAAGATTACGATAGACGGATATTGGGCATCCTGTACATTAAAATATGTACACAACGAAGGCAAATACTGAATCTGCCTCCTCTTTATTCTTCTCTATTTTAGATCACAATCACCTGCAAGCATTTTTCTTACTTCTCATCATGTCCATTCTGCAAGGAGGTTGCTTCACGATCTGTTGCGCGATGAAGTGTGAAATGAGATTTCAGGCCAATCCAACACTGGTAGTAATCATGATCTATGAATGGAGATTCCAGAGCCCATCTACATATACGAGGTATTAAACTCGATTCAAACATAAAAGCCATTGTGTTCGTGATTTTCTGAGGTCCTACATCCTTCCCACGATCGATGGTAGCCTGTGAACCAATCCATTTTGTTATTGCAAGCTATAATCCTATATAGTAAGTAAGAAATGCTTCTTAATTCTGCCCCCGAATGACGAAAAACTTTTGGCAGCAATTTCCTCAATAAGAAAGCCTTTTCAAGTCAGTGACATGGTGCCGAGTTAGAAAGTATATTCACGCATTGTTACCGAATTTGATAGAAATGTCAGATTTTTTCCCCTTTTCTCTAGAACACAGAGAGAAGAAGCAAGGATGACCTTCTTTTTTTTTTCCCCCCCTTGCACAAGACCTACGTACCTCGTATGACTTAGTATCAGGACCATGAGGAGTCATGCAGCTGTGGAGACTTGCACCACCAGGGAGAAAGCCATCAACCTTTGCCTGAAAGGATACGCGATGTTTTAGGCACTGTCATTAAAAGAAAAGAATTGCCTACAATTGACTCGTTGAGAAACAATCTATAAACAGGAACACTATAGTCATCTCCATGTCTAAAGTTAGATTACAACTATCCATAATCCTTCACATCAAAAAATTTAGAGCAACCCAGTCAAACAGTTGTATAAGACACAAAGTATCATTCAGAATAAAACAGGTGCTTCGGATTTTGTGTTGCAGTGTTTCTTTCTGGTGTATGTAACAATGTCTGTGTTCCTTGAGTTACAAGACAAACAATGGTTTGTTGAAACTTGAAACATCAATCCATTGTTAAAAAAAAAAAAAAAATTAAATATTGCACCTCATAACCACCATAAATAAGGCCCATAAATTCACTCATGCAATTGCGATGATAATATGGAGGCCGGAATGTGTGCTCAGCAACCAGCCACCTAGGTGGGAAGATGACAAAATCAAGCAGTGCCACTCCGGGCTTATCAGTTGGTGCAGTCAAAACTGTGCATATAAGACTTAGAGATGTTAAAAAAAGTCGTTCCGCTGCATTAAGGAACTAAGGAAAGAATGCAAAGAAAAGAGAAAAAGCAAGCAAGGAATCGAACAATGCATACCAGTAAATATTGAAGGGTCACTATGATCGAACAGAACAGTGTTGTATGGGCAAAATTTGCTTAGATCATACTGCAAATGACATGCAACCAAATCAGGATACACCCAACAAATCAGCAAGAAAATGATGGCTTTAATATAGAGATACTTGATGTGACACAGGCTGTCTAACCAACACGAGAAGAGAAGCACACCTTATATGGAACATAGTTACCATGCCAAGCAACAACATTGAATGGAGAGAAATCTTGTACTGCAACAAATAGTTCACCACCAAACTTTTGTATGATAGCGTAGCCAGGATAGGAATTGTCTTCAAACCATGCTGTAGGAACGAGGAAATCCCTTGGAGCAGCGAGGCCGTTAGCACCTAAAATGCAATGAACCTCAATTCTTTACTCATAGAGGCGCTATAGAAGATATTCAATAAAGTATAAATTATCATGTGTAATGCAAATTTAAAAGCAAATGCCACGGAGAATTTGTCAGCTCAAAGTCCACAACTACAAAAGAGATAAGATACCTATGGGTCCAAGCTCAGGAAGCTGAAAATGAGCACCAAAAATCTCAGCAACATATCCACGGGATGGACCATCAGGCAGAGAAACAGCAAAACGAAACCCTTGAGGTAATACAGCTAGTTCACCAGGGGAAACCTCTAATCTTCCACATTCAGTCATGATTAAGAGCCCTATAGAAACATTAGAACGTGTTGAGCAGGGAAAAAGGAAAAACGAATACTTTACCATAGCAATGACCCAGGAAGGGTTAGGATCATATGGTTATCCTATCTATCTAGAAACATAATACGTTATGACCTAGGAAGCACAAACAAGTGAACAACCATGTTCAGAGTCCATGACTGCATGCCAATGTCTATACTATTTCATGCGAGAACAACTATCTCATGTCAGATATGTGGTGACTACCTTTTGTCAAACAGAGGAAGATCCAATGGGCAGAAAGCATGAAAAAAATATGAACTTCCAATTGAAAAATAATTATACCAAGTCTAAAAAAAATCAGTAGTCACTAAAGTTTGTTGTTCAATTTGATGCTTTCTGTTTCATAATTTCATTCAGGGAAAAAATTAATAGGCATTTTCTTTTTTGGCTAATAGAAGATAAGATCTGGAGTTCATTAGGCATAGATTAGCAACGCAATCACATAATGCCAATTCAGAACAAATTATAACTTCAGTGAGCGAATAGGATTCAATTTTTCAGCCATGGTGAACAACAAGCTAACGATGATCACTTACTTCCTTTTTGAGGAACTACAAGGAAGTCGCCATCAGCGTTGCAAAAAGCACAATTGTCCATGGACTTGTTGGCAGTGTACCTATGAGTGATATAACAGTTACCCACATGATCAAAGGACAAATTTTACCATCAGAATATCAACTAGTCAAAGTGTCATACCAACGACATTCTTAGGAAGACAGAACCTACAAAATATAAATAGTCCAAGCCAATCACAAAAAGATGTTTATCCAAACAGCTACCATCTCTAATAGAAAGCAATCATTTTATGCAACTGAATTGTGCAAATCGCAAGCTGAGCAACCAATATTATGTTACATGAAACATTACTTGGGAAATAGAATTTCAACAACATCCCGACAACAATCACAAAAAGTTTCTATCTAAGAAGAAGAAGAAGAAGAATTGGCTCCAAAAGATGTTGTCAATTAGAGCAGAAAATCAGAGTAAACCAGAAACAAAATTAATCATCATATAAATGTAAGATGTGAATAAATTACATGTGTATAGCATATCCATGACGTAGGAATGAGCTGCCAGCACCACAAATCGTGAACAGCCCATCCACAAAATCCTTGGGTGAATCGGGTATATCCACGGGTTTCCACCGGAGCTGAGTCGGGTTTGCAGAACTGTTCGACTGATTGAACTCACTCAAGAGTCTCCCATTCGATGGGACCCGAGGCTTAAACGGTTCGTGGGTCACCGAAGGCTTGACCCGATAAAGCCAACTGCCCAAACCAGAATACAGAGAAGTCAACAGATCACAGAAGCAGAACACACCCAAGGTTCATAACATTTTTAAATAAAGTAAAACTGACCTGCGGAGATTGAGGTTGCGAGGGGAGGTGAAAGAGGTACCAGAGATTTGCTCGGCGTAGAGGCCATAGGGGCAAATGAGAGGACTGTTCTGGTCAGGAGGAAGAGCTCCGGCGAGTGCCTCGGAGGAAAAGTGATTGCCGAAGCCGGAGAGGTAGTCAAAGCGGAAGTCATCGCCAGCGAGGGAGGCATCAGGATCACTACTCTGGTGCCCCATGTGATTCCGATACGACCCAATCGTACGTGCTTCGATGTTGGATTAATAGGAAGATGCCATTTGTGCAGTGCAAAAGAGGATGGACGCGGTGGTGACGACGACACAACGGGGGGTGACGGAGGATGAGAGTCGTAAAATGGCCAACAAGGTAATTTCGAAATGCGTGAACTTCTTGGATATTGATGCATTTGTCGATTGTCATCGATGGATTATCGAAAGATTTCATTTAAAAATAAATAAATAAAAGATCATCAATAGGTTACGTAACTGACAAGCAGATTTATCCAGTAACAGACAATTTTTATGCAGAAAGTGCTCTCTAAAAATTCTGGTAACAAGTTGACTGCAAGTTTCAGTGAATAATAGTAAAATTTATGTTGTTTACTTACCGGTAAAATTTTTTAATAATTATATTTTATAATGATTTTCTCAAAATGATAAAACATAAATATGTACTATAAAAAAGTGGGACCAATTGACAGATACTCCACCAATCATGTTTATAAGATATTCCCACCATATTTCATGGAAATAAAACAAACTTTAAAGGAAAGATGGTTATAAAAAACCACCGAAATGAAAAAAATTATAAATAAGGATCCATAATAATATTAGTATGTGTTTTGACAATAATAGTATATATTTTGACAATAATTTTTATAAATCAGTCCCTGCATATAATTTTTTTTTTTCAGTGATCCTTTTTTTGGCATTTTCCCAACCTTAAATCATTAAGTTTATTTTAAAATTAATTTTCTCCCCGTTGAATATGGGTGTGTTCTTTCAAGAAAATAATAGTCTATAAAAAATAAATTAAAACTTAAATTAAAATTATTTATATAGTAAACATAATGAGGTGATTTACATTGAGGGACAAAAATCTCCACCGAATCTGTCAGTAGGAGTTGGAGCAGTTAAAAAGATGAGGGTAGGGACAAAATTAAGTGAAAAAGCGTATGATGGGGCGAAAGGGCTCCAATCTACGGTCGCAGCAAGATATGGCTGCCATGTGGAGAAAAAGCTCTAATCATTGCCATCTGCCCGTAGGTGCCATTCTGGCACACTTCTAGAGGATCACCATACCTACGCATTACACGTGTTTGGAAGCCAGCGTGGAAGCGACAAGCGAAAACGCAGCTTCCTTTGTCCACGCTGCTAATAATTACAGTATAATTTTTTTTTTAATGAAAACTGGATACCATTAGAAAGACAAAAGAACAATAGAATAAAACAGAAGGGCCTACTGCCCTTCTACAGCCTCCGCCCCTTGGGTAAAAGGTACAATTACAGTATAATTAAAAATCTCTCCGTGACTTTCGTTTCCCCTGTCGGTAGGGGTGGGAATAGGCCAGGCGGCCTATCAGGGGCCTATAGCCTGGCTTGTTTTGGGCCTGATCAGGCCAGGCCTGTTTTAAAAAAAACACAGGCTCAGGCTTTTTTAGAAGCCTATTTCATTTAACAGGCCAGGCTCAGGCTCCATGAGAAGCCTGTAAAGCCTGTCAGGCAGCCTGGGCCTGTTATGTTTTTTCAGATATTATTTGGGTTATGGAAAATGTAAGTCTCGAACCCAGGACTTGTGAGTGAGTAAGAAGTTACTTCACCACTGTACCATTACGTTTTGTTGATACTTCATTTACATGATATATAATTTTAAACCCTGTTAAGTAAATTGGCAAAAAAAAAATTATTTACTCCGTAATTCCCTTAGGTTTTTGTTTTCCCCTCAATCTTCATTTCAATTTTGGACTGCCGCTCTCACTCTCACCCTCACAGTCCCAGAGTCATGGTCTCACCTTTCAGATCGACTCTCCATCTCTGGTCTCCTTCTCCTACCTCAGTCTCAGAGTCAAACAGACAGGCGCTCGACTCCACGGTTTGTGCTCGTGCTCACCGGCGTCGCTCAGTTGCTTAGCATCGGCGTGAAGGACGCTCAGTCACGTAGTCGCCTACCTCTCTTCAATCTTCATGGCTTCTGCTTTCCGATCTCCATATCCTCGGCCGCGTCGACTCCCAAGCCCAAGCCACAACATCGAAGGTGTCTAGTCATCCTCCTCCTCAATCCTCACAGTCACAAGCCACAACTCGGAGGTCGGAGCTTGAACCATCACTGACGTCAACAACTCTTCCTCGTCAATCCTCATGACTCATCTAGCCAGGTAAGCCAAGCTATTCGAAGAACCCTAGTTTGAATCTAACAACCTTCGACCTCTGTTCATTGTTCGCTATTCGACTTCCAATCTGCTGGTGCTAGTGCTGGTACTCAATGCTCGGTGCTTTGCTGGTTTTTTAGTTATCCACTACTGTGTTTCTTTTAGGGATATTTTAATTGAAATATTCTCTGCTCTGTCATTCTATGTTTGCCTGGAAGGATGGTTCTTGTTCTGATAGTAGATGTTACTATTTGAAACATAAATTGCTTTTTGATGATCAAAACTTAAATTGCTTTAGTTCTTCAAGTGTTGAAACTTAAATTGCTATGGTTCTTCAAGAGTTCAAGTGCTGACGGATGTAATTTATCTATTCGAGGATGCCATTTATTATTTTGGTTTGAACTAGATAGGTTGTCTAGGAGTGTTATTGAAGTGCAATCTGTTGAATGATGCCCATATATGATGATTTGCATATCTTTTAGTCTCAGGTCTATGAATGACGTTGTTAAGTCTAAGATGATTTGCCTTAATTCATTTGCTAGTTTCGAAATTTTTTTTCAAAAAGTGATTAGAACGCATCAATGGATTATGTTATTATTGATTGATTTTTTTAGCTGACCATTATAGGTTGTTTCGTCTAGAATCTATGGCTTATTTGACTGCATCTTCTCCTCAAAAACCTAGTTTTAAAGTCAGCCTATTATTATAATTTGAATATTAGATATTTAGATTGAGTTATTATAATTTTGAATTAATTTATGTATGTTTGAAATTTTCAAAACTTTCAGGCTTTTTAACAGGCTCCAGGCCAGGCCAGGCCAGGCTTAGGCTAAACACAAGGCCTATCACAGGCCACAGGCCAGGCTCAGGCCGGTAGGCTTCAACACAGGCCTAGCCTGTTAAGGGTGAAGCTTGGCCTGGCCTGGCCTGTTTCCACCCCTACCTGTCGGTCCTCGCCAGCCCTTTAATTTTTTTTTGTTTAAATTTTATTTAAAAAAAATACCCAACTGGAGCGGAGTTGGAAGAAAATGTTGTCACGTAGAACTGAGATATGGAGGAAAGGGACGGTAATATAAAAATTGAAAATATAAATGACTAAGAGAGTATTTAGTAACACCAACAAAGGCTTTTAAAAAGCATTTTTTCCAAAACGAAACAATCTCTTTTACATATTTACCTCATATACTCCTCCGGTTCTTAATATAAGACCCATTTAACTAATTTGATTAGATTAAGGAAGTTAGGTAAGTTAGTTAATTATAATAAATGTGATACGTTTTTCCTAAAATACCATAATCATCTTTCTTAATACCCCCTCTCTCTTCTACTTGATTATGGTTGAGAGAGTATCCATAGGGGTAATTTAGAGAAAATTGATAAATATGATAAATAGGTCATATATTTAGGACCAAAACCAATTCAACAATTGGGTCCTATATTAAGGACCGGAGGAGTACTATAAAAGCACTTTTAAAAAAATTTTAGTCCTATAAATTTATATAATATGTTAATTTGATCTCTTATATATTTTCAGTTTTTTAATTTTAAAACAGTTAAAAAAATAATGATGTTGAAAAATAATAATATTAAAATCTTAAATGTTGATGAAACATTCTAAACTGCTAACATGTTAAATATAATTTTCAAAATAAACATGATTGTTATAAAAATTTATCAAGATTAACAATTTTAGGATTAGAGACTTCAAATGTACTACATCCAATCCTTAACATAAAAGCTAGTTAACTAATTTGAGTAGATTAAAAAATTGATTAATTTGGTTATTTGTAATAAATAAGTGTTATATCTTTTAAAATACTCTTACTAATCATGTGTATTAACTAAAATTATCATTTGGTGAAACATTTAACATGTGCAACTACTATAAAGATTACCTTAAAAATAGATAAATATAAGAGATAACATTGTTATCAAAAGTACTTTTTATATATACAAATTACTAAAAAAACATAAGTTAATATGATAATTACATAAAAAATAGATTTTATGATATATTTTAATTTGAAGGAATAAAATTGTTAATAATATATTTTTTATCAACATAATTAATAATACATAAGATAATATAATTAATAAATAATTAATATGTGTATATATATTTATAAGATATAGAATTAAATATGTTTATAAAAAAAATAATTGGGGGGTGTTAAAGTCATATTATTATTGAGATCTACTCTCAGGCTCTCCCTCGTACTGTGTTTGAAACAATGAGAAAGAGATGAATAATTGGGAAGGGATATCCGCCTGGGCAAAAAAAAAAACAACAAGACACATATCTCATAAGCTCTCACACTCTCCTTTTTTCTCCCAAAGGCAGAAAATTTTTGCTTCTGCCAAAACCATGGTTTTGGTTTTTGGTTTTTTTTTGTTTATGGTGTTTGGGTGATTTTTCCCCAAACCATGATTTGGGTCATCACCCAAACACCCTCTAAATTAGATATTAAATTAATTCTTATATTAAGAATAAAAGTATCACATCATTCATTGTCATGCTGGGCCATTAATTTTCACATGGAAAGCAAAACTGAATAACTAAAACCCTCAAAATATCTCAACCCCACGTTCTCACAGACCCACAAAAATCAACCATGTTTAACTGAAAAGTGAGAAGCATTGAAATCGTGAGAGAATCTAATACGTTTGAATTTTAAAATTTTCACATCAATATTACTTACCATATTTTAATAACAATTGACAGTATTTAAAAAAAATGACAATAAATTATTTTAGTAATTCGTTATTTGATATTTTAAAATTTTAAAAGTATTTTTTGGATTTTTTTTAAAAATTATTGTCACAAGTGATGAATCTGGTGACGCAGACATGATTTTGCATGAGATTTTGGTTGCTGACGTGATCTTGTCAAAAGACATTGCCTATATTATTAGAATCAATGAAATTAACTTGAAAATGATAAATGCTATAGACATTATCTCCGAATTGTTCTGCTGGTGTTTGAATGGGAATGATAATT